CTATTATTTGAAAAAAACTTTGAAGTTTATGAGAAGTTTTTTACCATATGGTTGTTCACCATTACAAATTTTTTCAAAAGAATTATCTAGTGCTCATTTTTTATTTAAATTAATAAATGATTATAATCATTTTGTTAATCTTATATTTTATAATTTATTAAAACATGAATCATACTTGTGTAAAAATTTCAATTATAATATCATATCTAAATCTAATTATATCAAAATATCTGGTGAGAAAAAAAAAAATTCTCAAAAAGATAAACAGACAGAAATATATAATATAAAAAAGAAAGAAAAGAAAAAAATTACTAAAGTATTAAATAAATTTCATTTTATCATAAAAAAAAAATATATATCAAAATTTACAAAAAAAAAAATTTCTTTTGATGTTTTATTAGTAACAATAATACTCTATAAAGATATATATTCGTATATATTCAAAGAATTAAATTGGAATTTTTTTTCTATTAAAACTGTACAATATTTAAGGAGGCTTTATAACTTGTATCTAAAAACAAAGGAATTATTAAAAAAAAGAAGAGCAAAACATGTTTTATCTGATTTTGAAAAGGATCTAAATGAGAGATGTGTTGTTATATATATATTTAATCAAATAATTCCTTATAATAAGAAATACAAATACAAAAAAGATAATAAATTAATTAATAATAAAATTAATAATAAAATTAATAATAAAAATTATGTAGATAAATTTCCTAAAAAAAATTTTTTACAAAAAATAGATAAATTAATTTTAGACAATTTAAAAATAATATACCATGAAAAAGGCAAAAATATAAATGAAGAATATAAACAAAAAAAAGAAAAAGAAAATGAAATGAAAATAGATATAATAAAAAAAAAAAAATTTCAATTAAAAAATTTCTTAAATGTGATTTATATTCATCCATTATATATTATAAATCAAAAGGTTATATTTAATTATATGAACACATATGAAGAAGAAGTTAATTTTTTTTATGAAAAAGATATTTTCTCCTTATTATTTTGTGAATTATTTTATTTACTATTTTTATTTCCATCTATAACTATACAATTATTTAAAGTATTTTTATTAAATAGAGAATTTTTTGATATTTTATTAGAATTATTTTTAATAAATAATAATGATAATTTTTATGATAAAAAATTAAAAGAAAATGAAAAAACGAAAATAACCAAAACATTAAAAAATGACGTTATTAATAGTAATATTAACAACATAAATAGAAGTAATAATAATGATAATAATAAATTATGTATTGTTGATATCGAAAAAATAAAAAGTAGTAAAATAATGAATAACAATTTTTATGAAATATTAAAATCAACTAAAAAGAGAGAAAATTATATAATAAAAAAATCCTATATTATATTTTTAAAAGTTTATAATTGTGTAATACATATTTATATTGATGTATTATTAGAAAAATTAAAAAGAAATGATATAACTAATTATTACAATTTTATATATATATTGAAATTTAATAATTTATTCATTAATAATATTTTTTTGTTTTCATTGTGTTCAACAACTATATTTATGTATGAAGAAGAAAAAAATAAAAATAATAATTTAAAAGAAAAATATGCAATCATAAAAAATACTTCTTCATATTCTACAAATTATAATAATCTAGAAAATATTGTTTATAAAGAAGATATTCATTTATTCCAATTACTTAAAAGACAATTTGAAATATGTAATAAAATATTAAATAAAATATATAACTTTCTTATATTATTAGTTTTTTATTATAATAATGAAAGTGAAATTATATATTTCAATAGTTTTAACGAAAATAATTCAGTAAATCAAGAAAAGTATGAAAAATTTATAATTGTACTAAATGATGTTGTTCTATATTTTCATATAAATTATAAATTAATAGAAAATATTTTCAATTATTATTTTAACAAAATAAATAAAAAAAATACTACAAAAAATTATTACAACAATAAATGTATCATATATGAAATTTTTATATCTACAAATACTTTTTACTGTCATAATAATAAAAATATTTATAATATTTTTCTTTATTTGTTTAATTATATTGATGATTTATATGTAAAATCAATAATAAAAAATGGTGTGTATTCAAATATTCAACTAAAAAAAAATGAAGACCTTTTGTTTTATATAAATAACTCTAGGATAAAAAACATTCATTTTTTAAAGTATTTTTTAAAAAAAATAAATCCATTATGATATTTTATAAATGTTGAATTAATATTTTTTTTGAATATTTTATTTTTATATTATTCAATTTTTTTTTTTTTTTTTTTTTTTTTTTTTTTTTAGCTATTTATTTAATATATGTCAAGAACAGGTAGATAAACAAAATTTTCTTTATTTAGATAAATTATTAAATAATTTTAAATGTCTTAAAAATTTAAGTATTTTATACTGTTTAGAAAATAATGAAGATGTAAATATAAATCAAAAATGTTTATCTGAATTAAAATCTTGTAAGGAAAATATTTATTTATATAATTACATAGAAGATATAAAAGTTAAACTAAAGATTGCTTGTTTAATTTACAATTTTTTAAGAAAAAACAAAAATATATCAAAATATATAGATAATAAATTATCAAAAAGAGTTATATATTTAAAATTAAAGACTTATTCTAATGCTTTTATTTTAAATGAGTTAAATTTATTACAACATTTAAATTATCATTTCATAGTTAAATTAAAAAATAATATTAAAAATCCTCTATATAGAAAAGAAATAAATATTAATAATAATTTTATCATTTTTTATTTGATAATTAAAAATGTATATTTATACTTAATAAGGTAAAAAAAAAAAAAAAAAAAAAAAAAAAAATATATAT